GGCCGGATGTTTGTGTCTGGAACTGAGGTTTTTCGGTGAAACCCTACTTGTTAGGGTTTAGCGTTTAGGGTTTAGGGTTTAGGGGCATACAGCGTTTACCCCCTTAGAAGGCCCTCTGTAAACAAAAACCCACAAGGCCTTTAGACTCTAGGCAGCGAATCCTCATGAGAGCCTGACATGGACTCGTAACACCCTATGTAATATGGGTAGTTCTCTAAATTCGGGTTCCCTTTTAGGGTCCATTTTATAAGGGTGCCGTACTATATTGGGGACCTAAAAAGGGACCCTAATTAGAGAACTACCCATATAAAAAGATTCAAAATAACTCTAACAGGGTATGGGGGCATCGTTTACTACAGTGGGGCTACGTGGGGGCATTATTTCCCAAATGCTAAACCCTTAAGGAATATTTCGCATCATTCCGGCCCCTGTTTTGAACTCTCAAGGGAATTATGATGATTCCTCTGAGGGCTCCTTTTAAAGTTCCTTTAGGGGCTCTCTGAAGGTTTAAAGGTATGTTTGGATTTAGGCCTAGGCCGTACACCAGAAGCCCAAAACCCCACAGAGTTCTGATGTAGCAAGTGTATTGGCGGTTTAGGGTTTAGGGTTTAGGGTTTAGGGTTTAGGACCCTTGAACATGGCGGTGGAGGATTTTTAGTTTAGAGTTTGGAGGGTTTAGGGTTTGGATGGGGTTCGGGTATAGAGCCTAGGAGGTTTGGGGGTGTGGAGGTTGGTGTTTGGACGCTGGGACAGAACAGCACGGCTGCCAGAAGCACAGGAAGCTGTTGGGACCCATCATTTCTACAAATGCATAGGGATTGCAAGGGCAAGGTTTAGGGTTGAGGGACTATAAGGGGACATTATGAGTTACCCAGGCATCTACAATAACATGGAAACGCTGTGAAACCGCCAAATCCCAAACCCCCAACCCCCAAACTTCAGCCCAAACCCTAAACCTCAAACCGAAAGTCCCTAACCCTAAGAGCTAAAACCCCTACGCCCCAAAGCCCGAGCTGCACAGATTCAGGCTTTACGTTAAGACACCGCTGAACCCCGAGATTCCAAAGCCCTTGAATCATACTCTGATGGTTCAGGATTTAGGGTTTAGGGTAGTCATAAAATAGTCCACAAAGTAAAGCATATGATAGGGGCCTTCAGAAGTAGAATAGGCTTGTGGGATGTTTTGGGGGGTATAGCCTACTGTGGTTTTGTAAAGACTGCACGGAGAAAGCATGAGTTATGCCGACACGTCCTAAACCCAAAACTGCTCCCTGCTGCCAGTCACTTCAAAAACTTCGAGCCCGACGCCCAGAATTGATAGCTTGGGGATGCTTGGGGGTTTGGTTTAGGATTTATAGGATTTGGGTTTTAGGTTTTAGAGCTCTAGGTTTTAGGGCTTTACGGTGTAGGGTTTTGAGTTTAGGTTTTAGAATTTAGGTTTGAGGTTTTCAGGTTTTAGGTTTTTAGGGTCTGGGATTTTGGTTTAAATCTAGGGTGGTTCTTCACACCATATGGCTCTAGGGCTCGGGTACAACCCTAAACCCTAAACATAACATCGCTTGTGGGTGTTGGAAGTTCGGAGTCGAGCCACAGGGCATGGCAAGGTTCTTCGAACACCTGGGACCCTTTCAGGGATCCTCAAAGGAATCTAGAAGGATTTCTATAAGGTTTCTAAATTAAGGTCCCTTGGGGGCCCTTTTACCAGGGTGCCGTTTGATTTCTTGGGACTTGAAAAGGGACCTACCCATAAAGGGTTGGCATAATTAGCAGTTCTGTTCCTTAGGGTTTAGGGCCAGAATCACAACATCATTTTTCCCCCAAACCCTATTCTACTTACTACGGCCCCTGTACTTGCCTCTCTGGTTGGGTGCTGGACATGTCGATGGGGTCGATGTTGGCCCGTGTGGGGTTTGGGTTTCAGGGTGTTGTGGAACTTGAGGGGATTTCCTACCTTAAGAACCCAAAACCCCACTTTTTTGTAGGTTCTTATTATAAACCCTAATATTGGACTTATAGGGACCCTACAAAAAAGTAGGTTTTGGGTTCTTAAGGTAAACCCAAAACCCTAAACGAGGAGATGATCACCAGATTTGCGTGGTTCAAACACTCGGGGATCTGCATCTCAAGTAAGTTTAAGATCGGCTTTGCCTTAAATTAGCTTACCATCACCTAGCTTTTATTGTAGGTTCTTAGTATGAGCCCAAACAGAGTATTTACATGGACCGTTGTAGAGGAAAGTAGTGGGTTTTCGTAGTTTAAGGTACAAGCCACTTAAACTTTAAATTTCCCTAAATCCTAAACCTTGGTGTATATAGGCCGCCTGAAACCCTAAATTTCCCAAACATCCCTACCCTAAACCCTAAACCCTAAACCCTAAACCCTAAACCCTAAACCCTAAACCCTAACCCTGGGCGCCTTGGGAGCAGCAGGGAGCTCCAGTATCTTAAGCTCGAGTCCTCACGACTGCTGAGAGGAAAGGGCCCCTCCCTAGTAGTAGGGTTTAGGGTTTAGGGTTTAGGGTTTAGGGTTTAGGGTTTAGGGTTTAGGGTTTAGGGTAACCTGTAACCTTTTTGGGGTAGTACAATCCCTATATAACCCCTATATAACCCCAAAGGTTAACCTTTAGTTCCCCATGATACCCGACAAGTGAGCCTCTACGCCTGAATAGGGTACGGGGTTTACAGGGCCAGGAGCCCCACAGACCCCTTCGATGGAGCCCTTATGGTCCTTGGTAGTAAATACTTTAGGCATATTAGAGGATAGTTGGGGGGTCTAGGTAGGGCTTAGGGTTTATAGGGTTTAGAGGAGTTCGCCACACTTTGCGACAGCAAGAGCGCCGTGGGCGTATGCATACCACGCCTTGGCTTCACGGTCACGCCGAACTTTTGCTAATGTAGGGGCCTACATGACTATCAATATTATTTTGGGGGTCCCCTATTACAATTATACTATACAATGCCCCAAAAACCCTATTCTCATTATTAAGGCCCCTACATTAGACAGCCGGTCGTCTCAGGAGAACTCGCAGCTGGGAAGAGATGCAGGTAGCAGTGGCCCATGTCTAAGCCCCACATGCAAACCTAAACCTGAAAGGGATCAAGGTTTTGGTGTGCAATACCTGCTAACACCCCATTCTACATTCTCACTACGACGAGCACGGCCTTGTCGACTCTGCCGCCCCCATGAAACGACACGGCTTTCACTTGGCTGTGAATCAGTGAAGGTTAGCTGCCCCCCTCTGGGCCCCCCAAAACCCTAAACCTTTTGCCCGACTGCTCCTCGGACACTGACCGCAGAAGGCAGCAAAACATATCGAGGGCGGGCATGCCTGCCGGAGTTCTTTTCGTGGGAAACCAGCCGCACGCCAAGAGCAAGGTAACATCACCGCTTTCTTCGCTGAACGCCTGTCTACCTAAGTCGGGATCATACCCTAAACCCTAAAACCTAAACCCAATAGCCTAAACGGGATCTTACGAGACTTTTCAGGAGGAGCTTGGGCTGAGGTTTCTGTGTAGGGGGTCATGTTCTTAAACCCTGGAGGGCTTTGTCACGAAGATCCTATTCCCCTCCCTGCCCCCTGCCCCTGCCCTGCCTTGCCCACCCTGCCCTGCCCTGGCCTGCAGCCTCCTAAACCCTAAACCCCTAAACCCTAAACCCTAAACCCTAAACCTAAATCCTAAACCCTAAACCCCAAACCCTAAACCCTAAACCCTAAACCCTAATCCGAAACCCTGGAGCAGGTCGGAAACCGGCCTGGCACACGGCCTTGTGACGGAGCCCATCCCGGAGACAAAGCTCGTGGAGCCGAGACCTCGCATTGTTCTGCTGAGAATGTAGGGGTTTAGGGGTTTAGGGGTTTAGGGTTTAGGGTTTAGGGTTTAGGGTTTAGGGGTTTAGGGTGTTGGGTGTAGGGTGGTTTGTCTGGGTTGCTGTTCAGGAGCTTGGATACATTTAAGGGATCTATATGGGTTCCTCTAAGGGTTTAGGGCTTTCAGGCTTAATCTACGATAATGGGGGGTATATAGCAATAGGGCTTCATTATTGTAGTAGCTGTTTTAGTTCCTTAACGGCAACCCAGTTTGTTCTGCTGAGTTGGGGCGGTGAAGGGTTCTAGAACTTAGGCTTCAAGGTTTAAGCTTTTGTAAGGTTGAGAGTTTCTGTGTTGCCTGGTGTTTTTGTCGGAGGGGGATTGTGGTTTAGGGTTCTGCAAAGTGTACATAACCTGGTTAAAGAAATTTGACTTACAATAAACCAGCTGAGAAGCCTTAAACAGACCTGTTTAGAACCGAAACCCCTCAAACCCAAAAGCTGTAAATCTCAAACCCCAAAGCTCAAACCCTAAAGCCCTAAAGCCGAAACTGTGTAACAGGCCCTTACGATACCCGTAGAGACGTAAAAAACCCAACATAACACTCATAAACCCTATACAACCAACTGCAATTCCATTAACCCGACGCCCTAAAACCCTGAACCCTAAACCCTTAACACTGAACCCCAAGCCTTAAGCCTTTAAAGCCAAACCCTAAACCCCTAATCCACTACCCCCAAAACCAAGCCCTTAACCCCAAACCTTAAGCTCTCAAACCCAAATCCTAAACACACGAAGCCGCTGAACCCCAAAACCAAGCCCTAAACCCCTCAATCCGAAACGCACTGACGAAATAATATCGGGGCCTAAATAATTACCAATATTATGCCTTGTGGTTCCTTATTTTAACTATACCGTATGATACCCCAAAACCCTGGTAAATTAAAAAAGCCCCTACATTAACCCCCCCTCAACCGAACCACACTGACGAAAACCCTAAACCCCAAACCGAAAACCGAAATAATATAGGGTCCTTCATAATCAGAATAGGGTTTGGGGCATATTCTACTATAATTACAATGAGGAACCCCCCAAAACCCTGTTCTAATTATTAAGGCCCCAGCACCTAAACCCTAACCCCTAAACCCTAAACCCTAAACCGCATGTTTAGCTCAGGTTTGAGCTCTTTGCCATGGCTCGGTCGGCGCGGTCGGCGCGGGCGGCGGAAGGCGTTGCTCTTTTCTTGTCATTTTATGAAGGGATTTGGGGATTTAGGGTTTTAGGGTTTAGGGCTTAGGGATTTGGGGCTTTGGGGGTTCGGGGGTTTTTAGGATTTAGGGCTTTGAGAGTTTTAGGGGTTCAGGGCTTCACGAGTCCTCGGGCCTTATGGGTCTAGAGTTTCGGGCTTTAGGGTTTTAGTATTACGGTTTAGGGCTTGATCGAACTATTTGGGTTGGTTCGGCATTCTATATAAGTGTCCGAGTACGTACCTCCCCCCTAAATGCTACCCTGCATTGCTACTATCCTAAACCCTAAACCCTAAACCCCTTAGTTGCATTGACTTGCAGTCCATGCACATTCGGTTTCTACGAGATCGGTTCAGTGCAGCGATCTGGAAGGTTGTTCCTGTGGAAGTCCTATCTCAAGATCTCCTTTTGGAGAAGAACCAGCTACTGAGTTCGCATAACATGCTTTATCGTTTGTTATGTATACATCTGTTGTATATACATAAATATAACCATCTTATAGCGTATACTTATGCCTATATAAATGTTCGCTTCTTGGCAAGGAAGAGCATCCAAGATACGTGTGTATGAGTTTCTTCAACCTGACACGTTATTAATTAACTGTAGTAGACACATTGATGTATGCACATGTGTTTATGCATGTACGTATATATAATCACGGTAACAGTAATACTCACAATACTAGTATAATCACAATAGCAATAATTATTCTTCTTTGTATTTATGTATCTGTTTATTTGTTTTCATTAGTAGCAGTCGTAGCATGAGCATGGTTAGTACTATAACGACTACTATTGTTAGAAAAGTGTTGTTGCTATCAATCTTGTTTACGAGTAGTTTTATGTTTGTAATAACAATGATAGTAGTGATTATGTTGGTGATAGTAATGCTAATGGAAATTCGGGTAACAATGACAACAACACCACCACCAACAGCAACAACGACAACGACAACAGCACCGGAGCACGAGCAACAACAATCACAAGAACAATACTATCAGCAAGAACAAGACCAGCACCATCAACAAGAATAACACAGGCAGCACAACAACAACACCACATTTAGCAAAGCCAACATTAACAACAACAGCAAAAACATCGACAGCAACAACATTATTAAGGACAACACCAACGACAGCAGCATTACCACCAACAACACAACCACCATCAACAACAACATCAACACCGGCAACAAGACCAACAGCAGCTGCGCGACCACCGCCGCCGCCGCCGCCGCCACCACCACCACCACCACCACCACCACCACCAACAACAACGACAAAGCCAATAACAGCAGCAACAACAACAACAAC